AACGGTTCAATATCGATATGAGTATCGTTGCACCCCTAATATACATATATATATTTTTTAACATTATGTCGAGGTAGTTTTGTGCTCAAATGTGCTGAACATGGCAAATGTTTATTTCCAAATAAGAGATTCAGATCTTTGAATAAATAGCTGTATAATAAATAGCTATTTGAACCAAGTGTCACAGTAAAATAACATTTGTTCACCCTCTCTCTTCACAGCCCCCACACTCGCAGAACAAATCACCAGGCATTTTGTCTATAAGCATTCTGGCTTTCTGCCTTTCCCTTGGCTCCCACAGTATCTTCAAAGAAAATAGGAATGTGCTCTTAGCTGACTCATAACATCAAAAACATTTAACCAATAACAGAAAAAAAAGAATAAATAATGCAATGTTCTGCATCTCTGGTTGAATAGCCAGAGTCTTAAAAACAAATGGCCAGTGATTTGTCATGTTTATCTCAAGGCACTGCAAAAGCACACAATGCCATGCTCTACTTAGTGCACCCGTTCAACGGGCCGGTCTGAGTGTCTCCACAGGGCCGGGCCCCTCCAGTCTGCCTGCACTTTAAATTTACAATTCTGTGGAAATTACAGCAGTTCCATGTGGCGGGGGACAAAAACCAAGTCAAGTGTCAGTTTAACAAACATGTTTCACATTTAACAAGGTGTTATTGGGAGCTGATACCAGGTTAGTAAAAGGTCACAGGTCCATCAACAAAAAAAGAAAAGAAAAAAGAAAAAAAAGGGAGACAACTTACGAGGACAGAACCACGGCCACGGCATCGTTAAGCACACTCTCTCCAAACAGTAATGCGTAGAGATCCACGTCCACCTGCAGCTCATTAAAGATGGCCAGGACTGTCACTGTGAGGCACAGAGAACATACGTCAAAATTCACTTCCAAACGCTGCTATACAATGTTGTGCAAAAGTCTTGAGCCACCTTTATTTCTTTACATTTTGCTTGGAATATGGGTGCAGCAATTTATTGCAACATCTACAAACATGCATGGAAATATGGTATATAAGGGAAAAAACAGATTTTGTACAATTTTAATGAGCTTTAATTGGTAAGACCAACTTTATTATTTAAAGCTTGAACTCTCTTAGGCAAAGCCTTCTTGTCTTTTCTCTAAACAGTCTTCAAGAATACTTCTCCAGGTTTCCTGAAGGATATTTAAAGCTCTTCTTTTGGATGTTGGCTGATTTTGTTCAATTCTCTGAAAAGATGATGCCACGCTGCCTCAATAATGTTGAGGTTCTGGCTCTGGGGAGGTTAATCCATGACAGTGTTCTATTGTGAGTTTTTCTATCCAAGTATGCTTGTACAGCACTGGCAGTGTGCTTGTGATCCATGTTATGCTGAAAAATTAAGTCCTGGCCAATCAGACAGATCAGACTCACTCACTTTTGCACCTCTCTCCTGACCTCCTCCATACAGACTGACAATGGCTACAACTTAAAAAAATTCAAATCTGAATTCATCACCCAATAAGACTTTTTTGGTAATGATTTCAGTCCAGTTGGCATGCCTCAACTTTTATCTCTATTCCCCTACCATTTCTTATGAGGCTTTGAATAACAGTATGTGGACGCCTTGTTAAGTAATGTCGACACAAAACCGGTTCATTCTTTGAATTACATACATTTTTTACTTTACTTATTCATGGCTCAGTCTCAAGGTGCTGAACAAACATAAAAACATTCAGCTGAAAATGTCACTTTTACTGGATGCGGTGTGGTGGTGGAAAGGCCTTTTGCACACTACTTTAGTTAATATATGTAACAATGTGCTTTGAGTTAGTAGAAGAAAACTTTTAAATCTGAGAAAAATCATATGTACCAGGGTCTGTGGCAGAGACAATGGCCCCAAAAAACAGGCAATCAGTGAAGAAAAAGTCTCCATTCAGCTGGCCCACCTGCTTCATTAGCGTCACACAGCCATACATCAGCAACCTGATGGAAGAAAAGGAAGAGCAGGTGGTTTTGTCCATCATCATAAACAACAATAACTTTAAATGTGCATAGTTGCACAAGGGTTGTAAAATCACAAGGATGAATGGCTTTCATGTTTTTGCTTTTTTTAAAAAAATAATTGCAAATTAAGTCTCTTACCCAATAATAAAACAGGAAATGACTGTCCCGAGAAAGGCGTAAGCCAGGATGGATCCCATGTTCCGAAAAAAATGTCTCTGAAAGACAGAAGAGTTACCAGATCAGTAATCAAATGCATAAATACTATAAAATAAATTATTCATCTTGATGAATACGTAAACCCCTGCGGTCTATAAAGAGACCACAAATGGACATGAAGTTATTTAATTAAGAGCCAAATACATACTGAAAATATGTATTTAATAAATGTTGACTTTTTATATGATATACTGTACCCTTTTTAAGCTGTAGCCAGCATGGAAGATGATAGGTGGTAGAAGAATATTGAAGAACACTTCAGGGTCAAAGGTCACCTGAGTTATACAAAACACAGAACAAAATTACAGATCTGCATAAAAAAAAGAAAATTAACAAGTTGTTTTCATTAATATTTCTTTCTATGCTGTTGCATTTTTGGATTGACTAAAATATCAATTAATCAAAAATGACCCATATGAGGCATCATGACACAGCTTCCAGGACAATAAACAAAAAAACTACTATAATAGTAAAATGGCATGTTACAGAACGAGGACAGCTTCTAGCCACATACATATACACACACTAAGGCTAATGCCATTTTTAGATGCTAGATCTAGAGCAGTGCTACATTAAAATCAGTATGTGGATTCAATCTCTGACAATGGATTAGATGTATGCATGTTTGGAAAACAATCCTCAATTTCTGAGCGTGAGATTATGACTTAAATAGATTAAACCTGTTCAGCAGATTGTTTACTTGTTTGGTGGTTAGAATAGCGTCAAGAATACTGCTTGTATGTAATTGTGCAGCTGTTTAACTGACAAAGTACAAAGTGACAAACACACCCCAGCACATGACAACCGTAAAACAAGTACTTTTATGGTTTCTTTTACATTCTGTATCACTAATAAAGGCATTCTGCCAGTTATTTTAACAGAACATTTCAGGCCCTGTTTAATAGTCTTCAAACTGATTTGATCTAGATGTAGAGCTATTGTTTTAAAATTGAAATAGCTACTTAATATTGATAATAAAGAATTTGTATTACATAAAGTGAAATACAAATCGTTCAGCTTACAAAAAACTAAAACCACCATTTAATCCCATTACAAATTAACCTATGATTTCTCTCTTGCATTGGTTAGTTATGTTGTATTTAAAATATCAGAAGGGAAACATGTGGGGTAGCTGGTTTTGATCATCGGTGCTTGTAGATTTAAACATCTGCTATCATTTCAGTGTAAAATAACTGATAATTACGTCTTTGCTGATGATTAAATCATCTGATTGCTCCAGCTCAGGGGTGGGCAATGAATCTTCTCAAGGGGATACAGGAGAAACTGGGACTCTTGTGGAGGGCTGTACCAATAACTTATACACAGATAAAATTAATACTGAGTTCAATTTACTGGCACCGTCCTCCACAACAGTCCCAGTTTTACATAGTCCCTTAGGAAAATAATTACCCATCTCTGTAACACAACTGCTTGTATGTAGACATCAAATTCAAATAATAACACGACACAGTATACCTTGCGCAGCATCTCATTATCCTTCATGTCGTTGCCACTGATCTCCCCTTTCAATGTGTACTCGTAGAACTTGCCGCTTACATTGACCAGCAGAGTGGCAGGGCTGGCATTGAACTGGCAATTCAAGGTGATGTTGCCACCATCCAGAGGAACATGAATGATGCCATAACGCAAAATCACTCCAACAATTAAGCCTGGGGAAAAATTCATAAAAACGAAAGACAAAAAGAAAAACAACAGGAGAGAGAGAAGAGTTGATTAATACAGGATTTTTAACAGTTTATGGCACGTCGCCACAGAAACGGATGGCGAGTGTAGTTTCAGGCTACCTGATACTACAGATGGTATTAAATGTTTCAGTGGGATTCATTTGTACAAAAACTTTTTTTTAAACAAAGGTCTACTCTGAACATCACACACGTACCTAACAGCTCTGGATCTCAAATTAAAGTCTTAACACATCCATGTGAAAATAAATTACCCTATCAGATACCGTACCAGCAAATTAGAATTTCAATTAGTTTAGATTAGATTAGGCCATATTGTCTCCAGTGGGAGAAATTTGTCTTGGACAACCGAGGGGAATATGTCACACAAAATAACACAAAAATCACAACATGTCTGGTATCCTGTACCTTTTTTCCAGAGGTCTCATATTCTTTATAAAAGATGTGATTTATATCTGTAGTGATTTTCTGTCCCTTCTTTATCACCGACTCTTTAAATATCTCATGGAGAGAAAATGGAGGCAGGATGACAATCATCTTTCCAGCTATTTTGATCAAATTTTGGATTTGTGATCTGATCTTGACCTAAAATGCTCAGATCAAACATCTGTTACTATTGGTAGTAATGCATGGTTTGGTAACCATGTAGTAGACAGTAATGTCACAGCAAAAATAATAGCATAATGTTACTATCCGCCCTATGGAGCCTTCATAAAAACTAAAAATGAGTAATTTGTGAATGTCTAGACTCTAAAAGCTCTGCACAGCCAAGCAGAAGTTATTAATTATCTGTTAGATGTGAAGCAGCTGGGTTGTGAGGCAAAATGTAAATGATTCTACGGTGACACGACCACTTCCTCTTCTACAGGTTGGAAGATTTGTAACAATACTCCTGAAATTCAATATACAGAAGTGGAAGCAAAGTCCAGTTACACTCTCATGATTGGCATTTGTCCAAACAATCACTTGTGACTTGCACGAAAAAGCAAAAGCAAAAACAAAACAAAAACAAGTTATTTAAGAACTTAAATTCAGTAGGATTCATAAGACAGTATTTGGCGAAATTGCTTAGGTGCTGAGATGTAATTTCTAAGACTAAGCAGTGTAAAAGAGGCGTCCACTGTCGTTAAATTACGCTTGCTCAATCACAACACAAACCGGAACAGTCCTGCAGCATAAATGTGTTAAAAGGGGCGAACTTATCAAGCCTGGTGTTGACATTCGTCTGTTCAAAATCTAACTATTAGGATACAATGAGTGTAACAGCTCGGATGACGTCTCTCTGTCACGATGGACCATCTTACCATAAATCATTGCCAGCCCGGTTTCGTGGAGAAACCTGAACCGCCGATGTTTGAACAACCAGATGGTCAGGATGGTGAGGGTGAGGAGCAGGATAAAGATCAGCAGGTCAGCGCTGTCTTGTCTGTGGCTCTCCTCAGCCTTTTTCTCAGTAACGATGTTCTCCATGGCACTGTCTTCCTGAGGTGATGATGCTCGGCAAACACTGATGCAAACAGGCAGGCTTACTAGCGCGAGCAGCCACAGCGTCCTTGTTGCCCTCCGGGCACTGCTGACAGTCACTTTAAACACCATTTCGGCTTTCGGCGGCCAAATGCTGCAACGTCGCCGAAGGTAAAAATAAACTTGTGCAAATATTATTCATAAACGAAGGGGAGTGGACAACAGAAAGACGACAGCAAAAGAGAAACCAATTCCGGCCCGGAAGGGAAAAGTAATTTTTCCAGAAAGTGTAATTTTATGTTTCAAATTAAAAGCACACCACCGTACCGTGGATGGCTAAAATCAACGCCAGTGGAAAAATTTAATACCGCAAAAAGAAAACCTTCTAGATAAATAAAAATGTCTATCTGGCAGTTTTCTTGGAAGTTTGCTTCTTATTAGCGCTGATAGTTTTCCCCGAAATCTTTTATTATGAAATATTTGACGATAGCGTGTTTACCGGGAAGTGAGTCCAACAGTCCTTTAGGCTATAGATTTGTGTCGTATTAAAAAACAAAAATAATAATAATAGTAAACCAAATATAATAACGAACTTAGCGTTTATTTTAGATTACGGTTTAATTACAGTTTAATTCTTAATAGAATAACTTTAAATAAAAAATAGCCGCATATTTCCTGTGGTATTTCCTCTTTCCTACTTCCTTCCTACTCTTTTACTGACAGACCATTTAGCGTAACGATACGAACATCAAATAATAATTGTAAATATTTATAGATACATTTAACTATATTGGATAAAGAATATTCGTTATTTTTTTGTTTTTTTAAAAGTACGATTGACAAGTCTCGTGATACAGATGGTCGCGTGGGACGTTCCAAATTATCGGAATTTTTATATTTTACTGTCATGCGCTGAAAAACAAACAAACTAAATTTCACTGTTAGTCCTTATTTAATAACATGGCAGTACAAAAATATGCACACATATATATTATAATTACTTAATTATTAACTGAAATATGCCTATAATTTGTAATTTAATGCTCAGACATACGAGTTGTACAGCCAAGATTAAGAAAACACAAATTTCCGAGGAGGTCTTGAAAGTGGCAAAGCCCTAAGCAACACTCTTGTTTTCGCTCGTGATTATGCTATCACTGTGTAGCTAAGAAGTCTCGTTTTTGTCAGTCAGAATCGTCATGTTTATGCGTGTTTAGCATTGAAATATATCTATACAGCTGCACCATCTAAACTTCTAAACGACGATGACATCTAAACTGAAAGGTACGTTAAAAACCTTCAACCCTTATCCTTATGCTAACGATAACTAGCTGTTAGCCTCGTAGCCTCCACTTTTGCGAGGTAAGGAAACACTTTTCGTTGTCGGTTATTAAGATGAAGCTGATATAACTCAATGGTAGTAACAATAATGGTGATGATGAAACAGAACATGTTGTCGGTGGCAAATTTTAACAACTGTTTTCGCAAATTAGCGTTTATCGTTCCTGTCTTTTGAACATTGTGTATAATCTCCCATAGTGTTATTGTTCCACAGTGTGGTAGACGTCATTAATGTAAGATGCACAAGTAACCTTGTGTAATTATCTGTAATTAGATAATTAGCTGTAATTATCTGTGTTTTACTTTTGATGTAAAGACATTCGTGATAGAATTTGAAAAGAGATTCAGAGTACATTTGGTTGGAACGTTGGTTATTTTTTCGTTCATTTATTCATTCATAGTATAATATAATAAACTAAATGTTATATTGAACTAATAATAACGTTTGTTGGTTTGCATATACGCACTGTGAGAAATAAAAATGGTTTGGCTATTTACATTTTTAGCTTATTACATTGTAATTTCCTTTTTTGTCAGCACTGAAATAAACTTTACTGTTGTAGGTACTTAAGATAGTAGTTAGTGTTTATATACGAGTGTTTGTACACTAGTGTGTATTTCTAGTGTTGCTGCCCAGTGAAAACTTCACACCATTAAAGACAATTTTCCACAAGTTTAAAAAAAAAGCAAAACAAAGAACACTCAAAGTAAAATAATGGATATAAAATCACCAAACTTGGAGATTTCTTTCCACGGGAAGAACATGAAAGACTATAAAGTGATCAGTAATTAAAGCTGTCAAAAAATGTGGTGGAGTGTAGTGTTTGCCCCTGAGATATAATGTATGTAAGAGAAAATGCCCAGCTAAGGTACTGAAAATGCTTTAAATGGTCCACAGACGAGTCCGTCCAGCCAATGATTCAATTGAACTGACTTTCATTTGTATAGCGCCAAATCACAACAACAGTTGCCTCAAGGAGTTTTATATTGTAAGGTAAAGACCCTACAATAATACAGAGAAAGCCACAGCAATCAAACGGAATGCTATGAGTAAGCATTCAGTGAGAAAGACAAAGGAAAAACTCATTTTTAACAGGAAGAAACCTCCAGCAGAATCAGGCTTCAGGAGTGGCGTCCATCTGACACTGTGAAAAAAAGACAGTGGAAGAGAGCCAGAGATTAATATATTAGATACTATATTACTTCTTACTTCAAAATAGGAAAAATGAGTTCCATAATATATTTTAATGTTAAAGTAGAATGACAAACTTTGTAGCTTGTCAGCATATAGCAAGCAAGACATATTTTAACACTTTCATTATGGTGATGTGTTTTGATTTTAGTTGGGAAGGTCGGTTCCAAGAGCAAGGAGGATGCCCCTTATGAGTTGGAGAGCCAGTTTGTCCTCAGGCTTCCTTCGGTGAGACTTTTGCACTTGCAGAAATTCATTGTTTGATGGAAATTCAGTTTTATCACCACCAATATGATCTGGTTTCATTTTTCTTTCTTTTGCAGGAGTATGCCTCAACAGTAAGAAGGATTGCACAGTCTAGCAGTATGAACATGAAGGACAGACTCACCATTGAGTTGCACCGTAAGCTGCTCACAATCTTGGCACTGGTTTAATTTGTCTCATGCTGTCTCCCAGTCTTGTTATTCATTTACAGTCGGGTCCAGAATTTTGAACGTTGTACATATTTCTATACCAGTTTCATTCTTTTTGTTATTTAAATGTAACAATGATTGTAGCATACTAATGGATCTTGTTAAAGAATTGTCACCCACATGTCCCCTTAACAATCATTTGTCCCTCTTATTTGTAGCTGATGGCCGTCATGGCATAGTTAGAGTAGACCGTGTTCCTTTGGCCTGCAAACTGGTTGATCTCCCCTGCATGATTGAGTCACTCAAAACGGTGGACAAGAAGACGTTTTACAAGACCGCAGATGTCTGCCAGGTAAGCAAGAGACTGGAAATAAATAATTTTTACAGTTTTCCATTATTTTATTGGTTTAAAATAAAAGTACATTTTGGATTTTAGATACGTGTTATGTAAATTTATTTCCCCCAGTTACAGTGCAGTGCAGTACAGATTAATCAGCATGGTATTTTGCATTCATTTTTCCCATCCACGGGTTAGATGCTCGTGTGTACACTAGATGGAGACCTTTACCCCCCTTTGGAAGAGCCAACTGGCACTGACCCCAAGACCAAAAAGAAGGATAAAGACAAGGACAAGAAATTTGTTTGGAATCACGGCAGTAAGTAATTATATACAGACAGCAGCTTTTTGACTTGTTTATATTGAAAACTTGGCATATCAGCAGTTCAGGAAACATAATGTCCCCTCCTTGGGTAGTGGACTGATTTTTGGCTTCGCTAATCCCATTGTTTTGCTCTTTAGTCACCTGCCCTCTGAAGAACACGCGCAAGAGGAGATTTCGGAAGACTGCGAAAAAAAAGGTTCTGACATTTTTCATTTTCCCTACAGCAATCCCCTCCCGTGTCCCATCCATCTCCTTAGCATCTCGTTTGATGATCCATCTTTTTCCTAGGCTCTCTTCCAACAAGACATTTACATTTCATAAAACAGGAACTATGGTAAAAGTGAAAACTAAGATTTACATATAAATAAAGCCTTTCCATCTTAGTTTCCCCCAAAGGCATGCAAAAAAGCTATTTCACTATTGCTTTGATCAAAGTGAAAGCGAGTGGAGCTGGAGCACTACACTTTGTCTACTTTGTCTTTTGAATAAATCTTCCTGAAGGTGCAGAGCTGAGCCATATTGATTTGGCCCCTTCTGTTTTTAATCGCTAATGTACTTCCTGGCATGTGGCCAGCTGCTACCTTTGTGTGTGTGTGTGTGTGTGTGTGTGTGTGTGTGTGCATTTTTACAAATTAAATAGTAAAATAAATAAATAAATAATAATAATAATAATAATAATAATAATAATAATAATAATAATAATAAAAATATATAAAATATACAGAGT